TCTGACATACTTTGAATATGTTGTAAGGAGGGAGAGGTCCTTGGAGAGGGACATCATGCTTGGGAGGGTGGAGGGACAGTGCAGAAGGGGAAGACCCTCTATGAGGTGGATTGATTCAGTGACTGGGGTAAACGGGATGGGTGTGTCGGAGGCAGTGCGATTGGCCCAGATAGAGCAGGTTTAGGGCTGTTGTACATAGGGTCACTATGAGTCGCAAGCGACTCAATGGCACATAACAACAACAACCATCATTTTATAGATCCTGTTATATAGATCATAAAGCAAGAAAGCTGAACATCTTTGGGGGCAGGATGTTTGCTAGTAGAGAGAAATGCACTCAGTGGTGGGGTTAAAAAGTTTTGTAACAATGCGTCCAAGCAGCGAGAGGCTGCTTTGTGAGGTTATATGAACTGATGTTCATGTTTACACGAGCTGACATCCTTAAATTTTAATGTGCCCTCTTTGCGTCTTGCTTTCCTTTAGTTTTTGGCCTGAGATTTAAAAATAATATATTGTTGTTATGTACCTTCGAGTCACCTGCGACTCATAGCGACCCTATGGAAAATAGCCCTAAACCCTGCTCTATCCTGTGCCAATCTTATTGTCTCTGACACACCTACCTCCATTACCCTAGTCACTGAATCAATCCATCTCATCAAGGGTCTTCTTCTCTTGCCCTGTCCCTCCACCTTACCAAGCATGACGTCCCTTTTCAAGGACTGGTCCCTCCTTGCAACATGTCCAAAGAATGTCAGATGAAGTTTCTGAATCCTTGCCTCCAAGGAGCAGCCTGATCTCACCCTCCCTAGGATGAACCTGTTTGTTCTCCTTGGGGTCCATGGTATATTCAGTTCTCTTCTCCAGCACCACAGCTCGAAGACATTAATTCTCCTTCTGTCCTCCTTAGTCATTGTCCAGCTTTCTGATGCATAGCAAGTAATTTCAAAGACTATGGCCTGAACAAGACTATGGCAATTTGTCTTTTAATTTCCTGGCTGCTGGTACCAAGAGTGTTGATTTCCTCTTCTCCACTTTTTTTTTAAATTGTTGTACTAATTTATTTACAAAATTCAAATACATTGTTTTTCAGAACAGATTCTTCCAATTTCCTTCATCCTACCACCCATCAGATTGCACAACCCTATCGTTAATTTCCCCCTTTCCTTGCATATCCTCACGCCTCTACTTCCACCCATCCCCCCATATCCTTATACTCATTCTATAATGATGGTTATATGCAATATTTGTCCTTTTGGGACTGAGTTGTTTCACTCAGCATAATGCTCTCCATTCCCTCCCAAGTTAGGTAATAATTTACAAAATTATTGCTCCTGGATGCTGTGTAGTATGCTAAGATGGTACCTCATTGTGGATTTGATTTGCATCTCTTTTGTTGCCAATGATTTTGACCATTTCTTTACGTGTCTGTTTGGCATTTGAATATCTTCCTCTATGAAAATTCTTTCCATGTCTTTTGCCCATTTTGTAATTGTGGAGCCATGCAAACTAAAACTATTAACAATCTCAATCTCTTCACCATCTATCATGATGCTGCTAAATTGGTCCAGTGGTGAGAATCTTTATTTCTTCATGTTGAGCTTCAATCCATATTGAAGGCTGCAGTCCTTAACCTTCTACAGCAAGTGCTTCAGGTCCTCCTCAGTTTCAGCATGCAGGGTTGTATCATCTGGATAACATACTGTTGATGAGTCTTCCTCCAATCCTGATACCACATTTCTCCTCATGGAGCCCCGCCTCCCGGATAACCTGTTCTGCATATAGATTGAAAAGGTATGGAGATATGACACATTTTCCAAATTTTGAACCATTCATTATTTTTGAATAAAAGTTTAAAAATAATAATGAGTTTTCATTCACTCATTCATAGATATTTTGTCTTATAGCAGTCATTACACCTGATTACTGTAATTACTGAACTTCAAAATCTAGTCCAACCCTTATTGTGTATTGCCTTTCCCTTCATCAGTAAATTTCTTGTTAAGTCTTTGGGATTTTCTATATATGTTGTTGTGAGGTGACAACTCATGGCAACTGTATGAATAACAGATCTAAGCTTTGCCCTTTCTTGTACCATCTTCACCATGTGATATGCTGGAGCTTATTGCCTCAGTCACTCTGTCAATCCATCTTGTTGAGGGTCTTCCTCTCTTTCTCAGACCCTCCATCTTTCTCAGCATAATATCTTTTTCCAAGAACTTGCCCCTTCTGATAACATTCTCAAAGTATATGATCATCCTTGCCTCTAAGAAGCACATTTCACCCTCAATGGAATATTTAGGACTCTTCTCCAACACCATAATTCAAAGACATTTATTCTTCTACTGTCATTCTTATTAATTATCTAAGTTTGAGATGCATAGGAAATAATTGAAAAGACCATGACTTGGATGGGTGCACCTTTGTCTTTAAAAGGACGCTGTTGGCGAGCTCTGGTGGCCTAGTTGCAAGAAGGTGCACTGCAATCCCAGAGGTGAGTGGTTCAAATCCACCAGATGCTTTGCTGGAGAAGGAGGAACAAGCTCCTCCTGTACCAGTCAAATCTGATTTGACTGTACACACACACACACACACACACACACACACACACACACACATCATCATCATCATCATTATCATCAGCATAAAAGAGGACGCTGTTGCTTTTTAGCAATTTGGAGAGGTCTTTAACAGAATATTTTTCCAATGCAACATGTCTTTTGATTTCTAAGTGTATTACTGTGGATTTTGATTGTGTGTCCAAGTAAAATGAAATAATTGACAACTTCAGCCTTTTCTCCATCTATCATGAAGTTGCTTATTGGCAATGGTAAGGATTTTTATTTTCTTGATGTTGAGATCTAATTAATATTGAAGGCTGTAGTCTTTGTTCTTCTGCTCCAAATGTTTCAAGTCTTCTTCATTGTCAGCAAGGAAGGCTGTGTCATCTGCACAAGGCAGGTTGTTGATGAATCTTCCTCCAGTTTGATGTCACATTCATAATGTCATATAATCTGCAAGTAGAAATTATTTTACTTTCTCTTTGTCAATTTGGATGCTCTTTACTTCCTTTTCATGCTTTATTGCTTTGGCTAGGATGTCCAATACGATACTGGACAGGAGTGGTGATAAAAGGCAACCATGTCTAGTTCCCATTTGCAAGGGAAATGTCTTAAATCACTCTCCATTGAGAATAAAGTTGGCTGTTGGTTTTGTAAATATGCTTTTAATTACGTTGGGGAGTTTGCCTCCATTCCTTATTTGTTGAGTGTTTTTATCAAGAAAAGATGCTGAGCCATAACAAGATAAAGGTAAATAACCCAACTGAAAAATGGGCACAGGACACGAACAAATACTTCGCCAAAGAAGACATACAAATGGTGAACAAACACATGAAGAAATGTTCAAAATCCCTAGCTCTAAGACAGATGCAAATCAAAACAACTTTGAGATATCATCTCACCCCAGTAAGAATAGCAAAATTTAACAGAACAGCAAACAACAAATGCTGGTGAGGTGGAGAAACTGGAACCCTTATTCACTGTTGGTGGGCGTTTAAAATGGTGCAAACACTCTGGAAGGCAGTACAGTGCTTTCTCAAAAAGTTGCAAATAGAAATACCATTTGACCACTACCAGGAATATACCTTAAATCAGAACTGCCACCCAAGCAGATATTTGCACACTCATGTTTATTGCAGCTTTGTTCACAGTAACGAACAGATGGAAACAACCCAGGTGTCCATCAACAAGCAAATGGCTAGAGAAACTGTGGTATATTCACACAATGGACTACTATGGAGCACTGAAAACCAAAGAACTAATGAAATATTATACAAAATAGGTGACCGTGGAGGACATTATGCTGAGTGAAATAGCTCCATAACAAAAGGACAAATACTGCATAATGCCACTGTTATAAAACAGAACTGACATGGGGGTTGGGGGGAAACCAAGAAAAGAGGGGATAAATAATGCACATGACATTAAAACAAAGGAGAGAACTGTATAAAAGGAATATATGATTAGGTATTACTGGCATGACAAGAGTCCAGAATAAGTTCTGCATAGTAAAGTGGTCTGGGGAGGAAATCTATAATAATGAAAGAACTTTTTTCCAAACAAAAAAGCAAACTGGGGGTGGGGAGGGCAGGGAGGAAAATGTGTAACAATGAAGGAATGTAAATCCAAATTCTTCATAAACTTTCATTAAAATCTCAATTAAAAAAAAGAAAAGAAAAAAGAAGACGCTGAATTATATCAAGTGCCTTTTCTGTATCAGTTGAGATGATCTGTGATTATTTTTCTTTCTTTAATTGATGTAGGTTATTACTGTTGATTGCCTTCGAGTCAAGCATGACTCATAACGACGCTGTGAACAAAAGACTTGAAGCCTCTCTACAACTATCTACTTTTATTGAAGTTCAAAGGGTTTCTGGAGGCATGTTATTTAGGAAGTAGATGCCACTCCTGCTTCTGAACCTGACATAGTATATTATTGTTTTTATATGCCATTGAGCTGCTTGCAATGTACAGAGACCCTATGTACCCTCTGAACCCTTCCCTGTCCTACTTATTATTTTTCTAACATTGGACTATTTTTTTTTCTTGTGAGATTGTTTTTTTTTCCATCAAGAATTCTTTTTATTTATTTTTCATTTCAATGAACATCTACAGAGATTTTGGAATTCCATTCATTCATTGTTTCACCCTTCTCCCCCCACCCCCGTTTGCTCCTCTCTTTGAAAAGCAAAAGAAAAACTCCCTCATTTGTACACAATCCCCCCCGCACCTCCCCCAATCCCACCCTCAACCTCATTGCATACTCCTACGATAAACATAATGCCCTAAAATATAATACTTTTAAACTATTCTCTCCCCCATAGACTTCAATGCCGTAAACATATTTCATCCAGTTTTTCTCAGTCTTACCCCCACCCCGATGTCAGCCTCATTCTACAACAGTGGCACCATATAGCATTTGACATTGGACTACTCTTACATACTTGTTATGAATATCACTTGATTGTGATGATTTTTTTATCATGTTGGATTCCATTGGCTAGAATTAGCCTGAATTTTTTTTTTTTACTTTATTGTTAATTTGTATTTAAAAACACAAAAAAACTCAACAAACTACTTCATTACTGTTGAGTCGATTCCCACTCATTGTGACCTTTAATTGGGTGCTTGAAGCTTAAAATCTTAGTGGGAAGATACTGCCCAACTTTCTCCCCCAATAAATTCAGATCACTGGAGATGTGAGGCCTTTTGGGTAGCGACACAACACAGCATGGACTATCTCATTAAAAAAAAACCCAAAAAACAGCAACTAAAAAAAAAAAATTTAGTTATTCTCAGCAGTAAGATTGATCAAAGTAAGCAATTTTCAGTTTTGTTTAAAACTTTTCTTTTCGTTCAATTAGGACTTTGAGGCCTGGCCAACAATGCTGGCATCATTTATCCGACTGGCTGTAGTGAATGGCTGCAAATTGAGACCTATGAGACTATCCTTAATGTGAATCTGATTGGTTTGATAAAGGTGACTTTGAGTATGCTTCCCTTGGTGAGAAGAGCACGGGGGAGGATTGTAAATGTCTCTAGTATCATGGGAAGAATTGCATTCTTTGGAGGAGTCTACAGTAGCTCCAAGTATGGTGTGGAAGCCTTTTCAGATGTTCTGAGGTAATTTTGCTAAGTTAAAACAAAATGAAGTACTGAGCACTTAAATATGTCTCAGACATTGTATCAGTTGCTTTCATCTCCATTAGCTTAGTTCATCACTCCCAAAATTGTGATAGATGGAATGATTATGATTTTTTATTATGCTTTGAGTTAAAGTTTATAGAGCAATTTGGTTTCCAGTTAGTCATTCATAGATACAGAGACATCATTGCTAAGGTATTTTAAATAGAAACGACTCATATTTGTTAAATTCTTCCCCAAATTTGCCTCCCAGCACATGTGTTAGATGTGGTGAAACTGTGTTTTGTCTCCTTTCACCACATCACACTTCAAAATTCCAATTTATCCTTGATGAGATTTCATTTCTGAAGAGACTATGAATACCTTCTCTTTGCTTAAACTTTTTGTTCCTCTAAAGTGAACTTAAGAAAAATTGAATTTGTTCTTCAGTTCCTTGAGCTTAAGAAATGCTGAATGAGTTTGGCCCTTTTGATTTTCCGACTCTAGCTCCTCGCACATTTCCTTGTAGTATTTTACTTTGTCATTCCGTGTCGCCTTTTG